AAAAAGGGAAATATATGGGGAAAAAGAAAAGTACAAGAAAATGTAAAAAAAGAAAAGAAAAGGAAGGCACGGATTATCTTTGTTGAACGGGAAATGCTCATTTCATTAACAGTTTCAACTTAGTTCCCATCAATGCCTTCATTACAAAAAGAGCTCAATCAACACAGCAGCTGGCAATTCTACGCCACCGAATGCCAAGGAAAAGGGGTCAGGAAAGATTGGTACCTTTTCGAGTTCCCAGCAGACGCTCCGGAAAAACGTCAGTCTCTTGCAATAAAATAGTTAGGACTAAAATTATCAGAATAATTCACTAGTGGCTTCAGTACAGAGCTGATAAACAACGCTGATACAGCTCCGGAAAAAGAGCTCTCTCTCTTTACACTATTTGCGCTGTTTGAAGTGCCTCGATAGCCGGTCACAAAATCACAGAACTATAGCATTTTCTGGCTCTCCACATTCGACCGCAACATTGAAGCAGGCTTGATCTGAGCGGCGCGCATATTTAGGAAATTAGCATATGAGAATAAATTGAATTGGGGGGGATTCAGTGCTGCTTTAAAGGGCTCTTTTCAATTGCCCTTCGTATTGTTTCAGTTCTCATAACTAACGAACGGACGGTCTGAGTAATGACGTCGCAATATTTCGCTCCACCCGGTGGTGGCCCGGGTGGGGCACCGGGGACGGTTTCTGCATATTTTGCTGCGCCAGGTGCTAGGCCTACTGGTGGTGGCGGTGGATACTGCGCACCGCAAATGAACGGCCCCGGCGGTGGTGGCGGGACTACGTCTGTTTATTTCGCTGCACCAGGAACAGCAGGTGGTGCCAGTGTGGGAACAGTATCGGCATATTTTTCACCAACCGTGCCTGGAGCTATGGGTGGTGGTGGTGGCGGTGCTGCTGCTGCTGCTCCACCGAGACCTGCACCAGGTACGCTCACGCTTCTTCAATAAATGTAAAAAAAAAACAAAATTTTGATAAAAACGCAAAGTTGAACTCAGAAAGGGTTGCATCTCGCCTTCCTAGTGCCGTAATTTCAGTTATTAGTAAAATCACATAAGTAGCCTAACTTTGAACCTGACGCATGCACAGTACTGCACTTGAATATCTCTGGCCCCTTCGACTCACCACAGGCTTTCTCAGATCCGCGAACGTCCCTGATTTCCAGCATATACAGCTCCGGTAACTTTCCTCTCAAACAATTCAAGGATCGCGGCGGTGCTCGGATACGTACACAGGTTGTTGACATAGTTGTTAGATAGCTTGTTAAGTTACTGCTCGCTTTTTTTCTTCAGCAAACACAGCATTCCGTTTCCGCGTTCACATCTCACAGCGTGGCGAAGTTGCAAAAAGCTAGTTTTACAAAGCCAGCTGCGTTGCCAACAATAGCAAAGAAACTGCAAAACCACATTGTTCGCGCTTTTGGATAAGTCCAGCCAAGCGAAAATCGCAGCTGCACCCCCTGTTCTTTGTTATCAACAATGGCGAACCGGTCGCCAACGTTGTTTTCTGTTCCTTCTTCCCACTTTGGATGATGCCAGAACCACTTACCCAGAGAAAACCCCAGGCTCGAACGCAGTAGGTAAGCCGGTGTGATCATGCGTTTTTGCACTATTCCGTGCTGTAGCAAGCTCACAGGGATCAAAGCAGCTAGAATTCGTGAAATACTGGCCCTTGAAGTACAGGAAATCAACTGTGCCGCCACGTGGCATGTCAGTTGAAAATGTCGACTTCAGTGAT